GAAAGAGAAAGAGAAAGAGAAAGAGAAAGAGAAAGAGAAAGAGAACTAAGAGAAAGAGAAAGAGAAAGAAAGTGTCTAGATAGTACAACTGTGTTTACCTTATATGGACGATGCAGGTCGGGTCGTTTCCATCTCAGGTACAGCAAAGCGATAAACACCGCGAAGTACGACAACCATGCGGCAAAACTGAAGTAGTTTACTAGTGTACTGAACTGTGCTGAGTCTGGGATCAACATGATGAGGGCAATCACGTTCTGCAATCATAAAACACGACGATAAACAAACACCTATGCATCCATCTAGTTAACATTCACGCCCGACGCCTGGATGCTTTACGGGAACCTTAAATCAGTAAGGAGCAGAGACTCTTTGTCCTTGTCAACGCTAAAGCATTTTCAATTAAAACGCATACTTTTCGATACCTCTTGGCCTTGTGTTCAAATTAAAAGAAGATCGAAAACGTTCTGAGATGAATAACGGATGCATTTGAAAAGGGTATGGTATCACTGTGGACGGCGAAAAAGGACGCCGTCTTGAAAGCTATCGTGGAATCCAAGCTCTCGATACGTTTTCGGTGAGACGAAAACGGCTGAAGTTGCAATGAGACTAGTGGAAATACGCTTAACCTTTCGCTTATAGCTGTTTTCGATATCCTGCGAACTCAGACATTCTAACGGCTTGTTGGGAAATTGGTTTTGAACTGCCGCCAGTCAAAAACTTTAGAGGTACCGACTGATTATTTTTGATCACTTGACGGCAGCGAAAAAACAAATTTCAGCGTGCAGCTTGTAACTACCGAGTAACCTTGCTAAGAGATTTGACGACGTTAACCATGGTATATCACAGTACACCGCATAAAACATGTCACTCACCATGAATATAATTGAAGGCATGGGTGTTTGTCGCTTTCGGTGTATCATTGCAAGTGCTTTGGGCATGTGTCCACTGCGAGCTGCTACGTACACAAGTCTGGAAATAATGACATACACGGAGATTAGAATGAATAACTCTTCGCCCCCATCCAAGCATGGTTTCCATCCACACAAAAAACAACTCCTAAATGCCAATTCGGTTATGGAACGAAGACCACAGGTTTGTTGGCCACTGGCTACTACGTGTTACACCATCGGAATTTCATAAAACAAGGTCGATAAATATATATAATAAATGTACACGAAGCTAGAGTATCCCTTGTATCATCGTAAAAGGTTCATTCTTCTAGGGTCATGTGGAAGTTCACTTTAATGGTTTGATGTGTAGTTCATTTTTTCTTTTTCTAAAAGGGTTTGTTTTAGGGCTCCCAGATTTCTTCTCGTAAATATCAAGTTGACTGATTAGGTTACAATAGGAAAACAATGCTCAAACAATTGTCATCGACTTCTAATAACCCCTATCAATATAGTTATCGAGCATATTAGAATGAGGTTTATTTAATCACCTTGCACCACTGAAAGCCAAGCCGTTGACGCAGCCAAAAGTAGAGCAGGCCACGAAGATTGGGATCAACCAAGCAACGGGGCCAAGCTTCATGGCGCCAACAGTCTGTGAGGAGATAAAGTGGAATAAAATGTAAATATGACAGGTAAAAGGATCGACCAATCCGCATACTAGTAAGGTTATATCAAAGCGATTAAAGACACCTTATAATTGACAGCATATATTAAACAGGCCGCAAAGTGTAAGAGCAATTACTCAGTACTATCAAGCCAGAATTCTTTACTGGACGGCATGTAGCTGTCAAGGCATGGCGTGGGTATACATCAGTATACCGCGAGGTTTCTCAATCATACGAAACTGCTTTAAGGCGCCAAATTACATGTTGAAACTTTTAGCTGAAACTAGTCTCCTACGCAGCCGCTATTAGTGTCGTCACGCAACGCTCACTCCCCTACTTAGGAGAGCGAGCGTTGCGTGACGACACTAATAGCGGCTGCGTAGGACACTTCTCGAGTGTTCTGCCGATCCCCAAGTGCTTTATAACTGCACACAGCACAGCAAGCAAGTTTTTTATTTCTTTTATAAAATATAAATTACATAAATGACGAAGTTGAAAGTGCGCGTGCGTGCTGTGTGCTCTCATAAAGCACGCGCTCCCAACCGATCAGAACGCGAGATTTAGAGCAGTTATTTTAAAAAGTATCATATTTATGCAAATGTAACATTATGTAAAAACGTATAGACAGATAGATGTGGGTAAGACGGATAGATGGGATGGATGAATAGAAGGATGGAAGGAATAATGAATGAAATGGAGGGATGGCATGGATTGATTTATCGATAAATGGATTGGTTGGATGAATGGGACTGACAGATGGAAGGATGAATGGGTGGCTGGGTGGTTGGAAAGATGGAAACGCATTGACGAGATGAGTGAAGGGGAGGAGAATGATTTGTATTCGTTACCATAGCAACAGCTCCAGAAGTCAGAATACCCTCGCCTCCCACGACCGCGATATAAGCGATGTTGGTCAGCAGGTAGCAAATGGTTACCAAGGGGATGCCAATCATCAGTGCACGAGGTAGATCCCTAGAAATAACGAAAAAGAAGATACGAATATCAGTGAAGTTAGTGAAGGATTTTGGACAGAAGAAATATACAGCAAATTACACAAGTTGCTTGCCGTCGGATCTCTCTTTAGGCGCGATAACACGAAGCAATGTTGTCTGCAACTTATCTCGCAACAGCGTTGCGACAGACGTTGCATGGAGCATTGCAGAGTGTAACCTACTGCGCAATTTGAAAAAATGTTGCGAGACAAGTTGCAGCAATCGTTGCGATAAGTAGAATTCGTTTCTACTTTTGGCAAAGATTGAGTCTCCGTTGTACAGTTGCACCGTCACACTGAATATCGTTTAGTGTAATCGTGTCTTTACCTTGCAGGATTTCGCATCTCCTCAGTGACAAAGTTGAGTGCATTCCTGGAAATAAAGCGGACATCAAGTCAACATCAACTCATTCAATTTTAATCACATAGAATAAGGAAGCGTCTCACTTCAGGGTGCTATGTATTCATTTTTTTGTGATCACGTGTTGCGAAGTGACTTTGTGCCCACCCCCCCCCCCCCCCCCCCCAGTTTTTCAAGGCTTGCTCCAGCCCTGCACTTACCATCCATCGTATGCCCAAAGACCAGAGTAGAAAGCCAAACCAATGGCAGCAGGGTTGGATTCGCTATYATCGAAAGGATCTTTTAAGTACTGTACATTGCCTAAGATACGTATGGAGGAAAAGCGCACAATTTTTAAAAAATAAACAATTTCAGAGTAATAGGCCCTTTGCAGCTAAGCAATCACGTGCTGATTAATTCACTGAGAGCAAATGAATGAACATTTTGATTTCCATGGGTGAAATTTACTGGACTGCAATCAAACTTTCTACAACCTGTTTCGAGAGATTGTAATAAAACTACATTTCGTAACACACTGGATACACATGTTTTCATTCAGTTCTTTACAAGTAGCTAAAAAGAATCACCAATATAATATAAAAACAAACATTTTGCAGTCCAGTACAGACACGTGACCGTTAACTGCAAAGGGCCTATTCTTATGTTATCTTATAATTGGCGCTGTGTTCACGTGACCTCTTGTAGTGGCATCTCACTTGCCGTGTCATTGACCAGTGGTAAGAGCGCTCGCCTATCACTAATGCTACCCGGGCTCGATTCCCGGACTCCGCGGTGTGGTGTGTGAGTAGAGTCGTTTGTAGTGGTTCTGTCTTGTGCTTCGAGGGTTTTTCTCTGGTCTTTCTTCCTCCTTAAATATCGAATTCTAAATAAAACATTTGCAGAAAATAATGACTGTTACTGGATGGCAAAAAAATCGGTCTTCCTTTATTTAAAGAACTTTTGTTGGATTACTAATGTCATATCCAAAACCTTTTTCAAAATACTTTTTTCCTCTATAAGATACTTTCGATTTCAAGATAAGAAGCATTTTAAAGTTTCTTTGCCATCCAACAAAGTCTTCTCCAAGGGACCTTTGGCTGAATTGATTCGTTATCAAAGTAACCCATCAGCACGAGAATGTTTGTCGAAAATTCCATCTTTGGCCTTTCCTAGCTCAGTCTCTATTGTCATTGTCCCACACTGAGATATAAGACCCTTAATAGATCTGGTTATCTATTGTACCAGCCAACATGGCTAGCGCGTGATCAGAAACAGGCGGGCGTTGTTTGTTCAGGTTTTCTTACCTTCGGCAAGTGTTACGATACCAATCACAACAAGAATCGCGATGGCGATCAATTTCCCAAGAGTGAAGACGTCCGTTATGCGAGTAGCCACTTTAACACTCGCACAGTTGATAAATATGGTCACAGCTGCAATAAAAATAGAAAAGCAATCAAAACCAATAAAATTTGTCAATACATCTGTCATCACAAACAAAAGCTTTGATTAACACATTGGATACACGCTTTCAATACATGGTGACGTATTTCCAGTTTAGATTGCTCCTATAAGCCCCCATAAAACAAAAAACCCTTTCAATAATTTAACCCACCCCCAAAAATAAGTGATTCGCAAATAAGTTTACCGTCCGTGAAGAAAAAATTGAAAAAAAATCTTCACAAAATTCGATTCTTATTTTGAACGCAGAAGTCGGTACTAGTGACGTCATGCATTCTTAGTGTTTATCGACCGTAGTTGCCATAGTAATATTATTATGACATACGGACGAATCCATGTTTTGCGTCAATTCAAGAAAACATTTACTTAACATTCTCTAACTATGTTTTTTTGTCGTTGACAGGAAGAGATAATAAGCCATTCCGAGGTCGAGATTGCAGAGAATATTGGCACAGTTTTAAGGACGACTGAAAATAGACGCCATCTTGGAACTGTATCCCGTAAAACAGTCGTTAAATATTAATTAAATCATAATGGAAGGTAGCTTTTACGCATGAATTGATCCGAATTTCTCTTACAAATTATATTGTCCTCTTGTATAAATACTTTTTTATTATTATTATCATTATTATTATTTTTTTATTATTATCGTTTATATATTTCTTACGTTGACAACGTGGATAGTTACCAATAGCAACGGTTAAAGTGTATGTGAGACAAGCAGATTTGATCTTCCAATAGAAATATTGGACGATATAGCGAGGGGTCCTTTTATTAGGGCCTTGATCTGTTGGAAGTACGTTACATAAAAAAATTACGTGTCCCGACAAATTTCACTGAAGCAGAAACCTGTAGTGCTCGTTTTTACTACAAAGTGTGCTAATATCTTTGTCTTCTCACGTGGTACCAGTACGACAGGACTGTCTGTAAACATGACATTCCAATCAATTGATGGCACTTTTCTTCCTTTTGAAATCATTGACAATGTATATTTTGCTTGTATGTCGAAATGGCTGAATAGGCACGTGAAGAACAAACAAGAGGAAAAAACCACCCCGTCAGTCAGTGCGCTTTAAGGGCTGTAGATGGTCAAAATGACCCCGTTTATACGTACTGAATAACCAAAACCTCTTTATGACTTCTCAACAAGATGTAATTAATTGAAAACTTAGGGAGCATATAAACAGTAATATAAAATCTTTAGAAGCCCCTTTCTTCTGTCTGCGCATTTATGTAGTATAAAATGTTTGATGATTCCCTTTTTTAACTCAGTAGAAATTTAATTTCCCTCCCCTGGATTCCTCCAAAAAACCCATGTGTTCAAACTTGTCTTGTCTATTTTAGCTTCTGACGAAAATAAGGTTATCTAAAACTACACTTCACTTCTTATTTTTTCATTCAAATGTCTTCTAAATAGGCAGAAAATTATGATTCTAGCCTTAGTGCCATATGTACAAAGTTTGATTTAAAAGTAAAGTGTGTGCTATGAGCTGCGTGAAATAAACCAATCACTGTAAAGCTGCATTGCTCCTATTGACGACATATAGCGAATAACTTCTAATGAAAGTAATCAGAAATAAAACTATCATCCTAAGCTACAATAATATTTATCAAATTCTCCTCAGTAATTATTTTACGACTTTTGATATATTATTCATTCCTCGATACAATTACTAAGTATCGAGTTCAAGGTGATGTTTTTAAGATGTGTTTAAGACTCAAAAACTTAAAAGGAAACTTCCGAAACACATGCAAATTTTTCTTATAGGTTTTGAAGTTATTTTGTCTATCAATATCAAACTGGATTTACGCGCCAACGAAGATTGTTTTGATATGCAAATTACTGGATGATGCAAGACCCGCTTTTTCTGTCTCATCGCCCACGTTACAGAACGACTTTTATTACTGTAAAAAGCACGATATATATATAACAACAAATAATAATAAAATACCATGGATTTACAAAACGTTTCGATATCGAGGCGTCAAAATCACAATTGTAACAAATTTCTGGAAGAAAATTCGAGTTGCATTGGAGTGGAAAATCTTAAACGTGGCAATTTGAACTCGTGTAATATTTTGCGCTGAAACTCTGATCACGATAATTTACTCGAAGTTGGTCGAGATTCCACCAAACGATATTTTATTTAAGACTTTAGTTTTATGATAAAAGATACGATTAATATGATTACACACTCACCAATACATGCCGCAGCCAGGACTTTACGAACAGCCAAAGGACTTATTTCACAATCCGGGAAGAATGGTTGTGTGACATAGCGTGCAAAAGTCAAAGCGACTATCGCGATAGACGACGGACGAATGATCAAAGCTAGTGTCCAACTGTATAGAAACCCAGGCAGAGGACCGAAGGTTTCTTTAAGGTAGGAATATTCCGCGCCTGATTTAGGAATCATGGTCCCCATCTCACAATAACAAAGGGATCCACAAAGAGCCAAGAGACCACAACCGGCCCATACTACAAGACTCATGCCAACAGATTCAGTACGAATGAGCACACCTTTAGGCGAAATAAAGATGCCAGAACCGATCATGACTCCTACGACCAATCCAACGCCATTTAGAAGTGTAACTTCTTTTTTAAGCTGGACTTTGTCTTCTATTTTGACTTCAGGTACATCGCCGTTCGCTTCTTCATCTTTTGTCAAAGGTTGACGAGCCTCTGTGCTTCCCAAAGGGTCATTCTCCTTATCCGCCATGTTTAGGAAGGCTTCTTTATTAATACTTCAGAACCCAATATCTTAAGAGGAAGAAGTATAAGAAAAATTGACTTATAATCGTGAAGTTGAGTAATAAAAATCGTTGCGTGCCGGTCAAACAATGCTATAAAACCCGCACTATCATATCAAATGATAGTTCAAAAACGGTAAAAGTATTTAAAAAGACAAAATAATGATACTTACAAGTAAGTTCACGAAGTTTAACGTTCCAGAGCACGAAGAATCCGGGCCAGAAAATCACCCAAACAACAGAAGCTCAAGTATCGACCGGTTAGACTCTCCTCGTGATCATAATACTCCAGCCCGCGAAAACATTATCAACACAGTGCGTTTAATTATCGACTGCTGATTGGCTGGCTGCATGAAAAACGTGTTGAACCTGTTCACAAATTTAATATGTACTTTGGTCGATTAATTCTTTTCAAATGACATCCTATTCAACCTGCACGTGGGTGCTACATGATGCGCAGCCACTAGAATATAAAGTACTCAAAACTATTGAATTTTCAAATTTTTTTCGTTCAGCCTGGAGTATCTTGTGGTGCCTTGAGGACCTTTTTCAAGTCATATCCATTAAAGTCAACTCCATAGCGTCATTTGCTGAATAGAGAAAAAACTCTCACGCTCTTGAATATTTAACGAGTTGAGTTTTTTGGTAATAATACAAACAAAACGAAAAACTGTTTTTGCCCATTTCCTTTTTGATATCAAATAAGAATGATAAGGAATAAAACGTAAAAATATATACTTGTTTGACGTTTTTATAATAGATATTGATGTAGAGAAACAGCGATAACGAAGTGTTTATGTTTTTAACTCCGGAAAAGATCATTGTGTTCTCTGCATTGGGGCAATAAATATTTTATCAAGGACTGGCAATTTTTATCAGACACGGTTTTGAGTATATTACAGGAAAGTGCAAGTTCATCTACAAGTCGTTCATATTACCTTAATTTTAGTTGAGGATTAAAAAAATTTGTCCAAGGTCGTGAGTTATCAGAGCGCAGATGCAGAAATATATCGAGATTATTACACATTTAGGGTCGATAAAATGACAAAATTTACAATTTCCAGTTTACCGTGAAGTGATATCGTATCACTTCACTGATACGCTTTTTATTCACGGCTTTAGCACACAGATATCGAAACTGAAAGTGTAATATAAGATAACATAACAAGATTAGTGATAAGCATGTGGGCCCTCAGAAGTGTATATTTGTTGGGGCATGTTTCGAGTAGCATTAAGTAAATCTGCGTCCAAAAATATCGGAAGGCGGATAAAATGAGGAAAATTTTGGGGATGGGCTTTGCGGAAACAAAGTCAATTCATTTTTATAGGAGCGAGAGAATTCAGTTCTGAAGGGTGGAGGGTACGTCCATCCACGCCCTTGTTGATATTTGTTGGTTCAACAACAAGGGATATTAACTTCAGTGCCAGCTGCTTTTGGCTAACTGCATGAACACTGAGCACTGCCAACTATTCAGAACAATCCCCTGGTAAACAAGGTGTGGTTCGTTTATACTTGCCACAAGCAGGGCCCCCATGTCAGGTTAACTGGCTGACCCCGGGTACCAGATACTTGGGTGTGGTTAGGAGTTGCTCAGGGTAAACCCATGGTGAAAAGTATCTGGTTACTCATAAAACAATGCAGGGGAAACTCCTCGTGAATAAAAGGTTGCGATGTCTTGCATGCCACCCACAGCGAGTGAACAACATTCATTAGTTTTCTAGCCTCAAACTATCTGTAAAACATGAGATGTCTGCCGTTTTAGATCATTAAATTTAAATCCGTATTCTGAAATCTGCATTGTTTTCATTTTATTTAAAGAGAAGTCATTGCTACCGGGCTTGATATTGGTCGTTCAGTCGGCGAAGAAATATTTCTTGCTCCATTCGTGTTTTACTTGTTTTGAATACAAGTTTTATGTCAGAAGATAACAAGTCAAGGGTCACTTCGTGATGTAAGAACGCATGATGGTAATTGATATGCGATTATAATAGGCGTTAAACCCGGTGATAACGAGCGGAAAATCCAGAACAGACACTGAATTCCGGCAGAGTTCAGCGTTTGAGGAATCTGGCAAACGCAACCATGGGGAGCCCAATTTGGTAAAAGAATCAGACGAAAATAAAACTTAGCTCATTGATGGTTTTCACGGCCGTCATGTTGGATGAATTTAACAAAAGATTCGTCATTTGTCTCTTTTGTTATATCCTCCAACATGGCCGCCGTGTCTTTTGTAATTACATTCTCTTGGGAATGATTGAAAACCAGCAATAACGATGTTTCTGGATCATGAGCGAGGACCAAGAAATTCTATAGGAAGACGCATGAAAAAACATTGTATACTAGCTGTATTTTTGAAAGAGTTTTCCATTCACTCGTGCTATGGAGAACACTATCGTGGCTCTTCAAACATAAAATATATTAAAATTTCCTTAGGGGGATTTTAAATATACGTTTTAGACAACTGAGGAAAGGTATCAAAGGGGGAGGGGGAGAGATCACAGTCGCGGCCAAATTTAAAAAGTCCATTACCATACTTTATCATATGACCCGTGTCTGCCCGGACACGCGCTCTTAGAAAAACCCGCTTCGGGAAAATGGCGTGAGCAGGAGTGTACGAATTCGTACGGCCCTGCTCGAATCCTGCGACCATATTGACATAATTTGCAACTTTTAAAATATCTTTTTTATTTAGGGTCATATGATAAAATGCTTATTGACTGAGTTAGGTCGGGCCGTACGAGAAAATATCTGGCTCTCGGTCATTTGTACTGCGCTCGGTCCGTACGGAATCACCTCGAGCCAAAACTTTTCCCGTACGGCCCGACCTAACTCAGTCAATAAGTACATAGCACTTGTACGACTGGTTTGAATGATGGATTTCGTGCGAAGGAAACTAGATTACTTCAGCCACGCCACAGTCCATTAAAAACATGGCGGAATCGTGGACGGAGTCTGAACAGTGTTATGACGAGCTAGCTTTTGTAGTTTCATTGTAGCCTTCTAACCAAATGGTTGGTTAAATAAGTGGCCGATTTTTCCCAACTGCAAAACAATGAATCACGACGGCTATTTTTTGTTGTTGTTCTGTTTTCCGGCTACGCACCTGATGCGTTATTTCGTCATCTGATTTTACTCACATTGCCAGTGAGGGGAATTATATTTTTCAAAAGTAATGTCACCAGGCACGGTCTTAACATTTGTTAGACATCAAAGAATTATCTATAATAAATGCATGCTGTTTTATATATTTTTGCCAGGGTTATTATTTATATATTTCTTGTCATGTACATCAGTAAATTGATTTTCTTCAGTTGGTGAATCAGTCTTGAAAAATAAAATAACTGAATCAAACAAACACAATCACAAAACAGACTCTTTCAATGATTTATTCATTCTGCGGCACGATTTTATCACTGTGACTTAGATCTAATATATTCTCTCACTAAATGTTGGGTTTTTTTCGTTACATCTAACACTTTCGGTGTTCGTATACGACATCATAATTGACTGTAATTTTCTTTTGAACTTCCTGGTATCTTTCACTTTTCATACATTTTTTAAAAATTCCACCTTAGGGTTTCCTTATTTTGTCAATCTCAATCTCAGAGTAATTATTTCTTACTGCGCATGCTCGATGGAATAAATGGCATTTGGTTGAGCATGCGCAGTAAGAAATAACGGCACTGGGAACGAGATTGATATCTTGCATGTTTCCCCTTCCCTACCCTTGTCAACTCTCTTTGTCTCAATTTGCTAATCACCTTAATTTTATAACTTCCTCAACAAATTTTTCCGTTGAATCGATCTTGTTTCGATATGAGTTTTACTGTGCCATTGCGCATGTGTAGTTGCCGTGGCCGATCTACTGGTGACGTGTAAGAATTTACTGACCATCTTGGTGTTGTGTGGTACTCAGAAATTGTTACGGTGAACCTTAAATAAGCTATTTGATTTGTCGACGTTTAGGGAATATAAGAAATGATAACAACAGATATTGTTAGTGTATATAGTAGTTTTTGAGCTCCCAGAGTCTTCCCTGCTAGCAGAGTCTCTCTTCTCTTTCTCTCCCTTCTTTTAGGCGGGGAGGAAGGAGACTCTGCCGATGTAGAGCGTTTCCTTTGATACACCGCCGTCCACGATTGTGGACGAACAAAACCAGTTTTAAAACCGGTTTTTAACCGATTACATGTAGTGCGCATGAGCAAATGTAAGACACCGTGGCGCCAAACATTGTTTGACGAGAGCGGCTGGAAAAATCATGACAGTGTTGCTAAGTTACGCCACGCATGCGCGACAGAAATAACGTCCTACATCGGCAGAGTCTATTTTACTCTCTCAACCAAAACAAAAGGAAAATAGGCTCTGCTAGCAGGGAACCAGAGTCTATATCGAGTTTCTCAGCTAGCGTTATTTGCAAGGGCGAATCCGTAGAGGGGATTTTGGTGGTTAGCTATCCCCCGTTGGCCGGAGTCGAAAAAAATTGAATAAAGAATAAGATAACACCTACTGAAATAGAACGCCAAACATGCCTTTCTAGGTAACAGCCAACACCTTGAAAATGACCCTGGATCCACACTATGATTTGCTCTTGAAATTCTACACTAAAATTACATTCTACTTCTTCCCCAGTGTTTTCAAAAACCCTTGCACTCTGTCCTGCAGATCTTCCTCATTTGCSGACAGCTGTCGTCGCAAAGCATCAGGGGAAATCGGGGCAAGACTCTGAGTGACGTCACTCATGCCTAGTCCCTTTCGTAGAGGAGAAGAAGGTGGTAGACTGTTGACGTTAATCCTGGGAGGACCAGACCCCCTGCGACCAAGGTTATAGCTGAGAGGCTCAGGAGAGAGGCGCGAGGGGGAGGGGGAGGGGGAGGGGGAGGGGGAACGGCTTCTTGTAGGAGCCGAACCTTGAGGCAAATCCAATCGTATCCTGTCCCTACCCCTCATAGTTTCTAGTGTAGCCCCAACTGAAGCTGGAGATTTTGATCTTACCATTCGAGCCGACGAAGGCCTTTGTTTTTGACTGAAGTCTGCAGACAAAGTGGTTTGAGCTCTTCTTGCAGGGGGCGGGGTAGAAGGGCTCCACGGCACCCTCGTGGGAGTGGTAGAGGGTCCTTGTGTTCCCCTCAGGGGAGGGGTAGTGGGTTTCTGTGGTATTGTCGCCAAAAATCCCTTTTCTAACACAATTTTCTCGACAATTACTTCATCTACTTCAGATGAACCACAAACTTCACTGAATGATGAAGAACTAATGTCGGAAACAGGTCTTCTTCTCAGAAATCTCGGCGAAGTAGCCGGAGAAGTGTTCCCATCACACGAAGAATTAATGAGCTGCAAACTTGTGTTATTCAAAGCACTTTTCATGCCATTTTCTGTAAAACTAGTTTTGTCATCAAGAGTCTTTCCCTTACTTTCCTCCAGTGAGTGCTCAACATGATTTTCGACGTTTATTGTTGGGTTTGTCTGAGAGGAGGATTTCAAAACACTACTCCGTGTCTTCTCGCTTTTAACCCGATAAACGCGTCCATATTCGCCGGTCACTACCGAAACCTGTTCCTGTTTGTACGAGTAGTCTAACATGCTTATTGCCCGCCGACCCTGCAGGCCAGGGCGTGTAGGATTATTATCTGAATCAACTGGACTTTCTTTTCCTTTATTGCTCAAGATATCCAGAACATCTCCTCCGGGTACTGGAGAACTCGATCTCTGTCGAGTCAAGTCATGGCGAACCTCCAGTGAATCGCAGCCAAGTTTAACCATTGATTTGTGCTCCTTCGCAGAAATTGCTTTGAGTTTTTCCTGCAGGTCCCTCTCTGCGATTCGTTCTTCTTTGAGCATCGTGCTGATCATACGTTGACCAAGTCTGCACAGTGAAGGGTCTTTACCGAGGCCTTTTGCTACTTTACTTGTGTCTTTAGATGCCATTCCAGTAAATGAACGATTACTGAATTCCTTTCTTTTCGACGTTCCTAGTTCGTTCCTAGTTCCGACGTTCCTATGCAGAGAATAAAGTACTGACAGCGACAAAGACCCCAAAAGTCTTGGTCCACGAGTTTAACTTCAAGATATTCTACATATTTGTACTTTGAGCGATATTGTACTCAAACATTTGAAGAATCACAAATTATGATACGGGAAACATCTACCGGTAACTTATGAACCAAGTCTAGCGGATTGTGACCCAGAATCTTTCTTGAACTCCATAAACAGCGAAGAGTAAAAGTTGATAGCAGCACAGACTGTGACTTTCCCTTGATAAACCTTATTATGTTAACCAATTAGATTAGACTGAATGCTTACGAACTATCGGACTCCTCTTTCCCAGTTATTAAAACGTCAACAAAAGTTACATGTCGTTTTGAAAAGTACAAACAAAGCGATAGAAAGTTTGTAGCAGGCAAGACAGAAGCGGGTAGCGTCAAAGAGAATTGATAATCCAAGTTAGATATCTAGACGAACCTTTTTCAAGGTCATTACCATGCATAGAGCTTTGACTGTCGTTATTAGGAGATGGTGTTGACTTAATCCGAGTCTTCTGTTCACGAGTTTACTTTTATGTTGTGTTGATGAATAATTATTCAAAAAAACTTTTTATTTCTCACTTTGATAGCACTTGGTAGTTATTATAGACGAGCTGTGAGACAACCTGGTTGACATTTGAATGTGTTTTTGAGCGGAGAAGAAAAGCTTTTGACAGACTGCAGGAGCTTGCAGTGATGGTTCTGTAGCCTTTACCGTGTCCTCGTAACAGTGCTATGACTTAATCGTCTGTTGAAGGTAAACAGTTCGTCATACGAAGGTAAACAAAGGCGATTGTCGGCTTTTTGGATTTGCAGTTTGGTAAGAATGAAATCTCGAGAGGATATCGAGAATTTGTTGATGGATTTGTTTGAGGTAATTATTTTTGGATGAAACAGCACGTTTGGCGATGTGCCGTGGGATATAGGTGGTAGAGATAAAACCGAAAAAACTAAGAAGAAGAAGAAGAAGGAGGAGGAGAAGAAGAAGAAGAAGAAGAAGAAGAAGAAGAAGAAGAAG